TGGAGCAGCACTACACAGCGTCCTCAGGTATGATTTGAGATTGCAACAAACTGCCTTGTTGCTTACAAGCAATGTCTAACCTTGTAATAGTAACAGTAGTGTAACAGTATAACAGACTAACAGTCTTAACAAAATAAGTATAATAACTCTCTGGAGGGTGAAAGAGATTTCCTTTATAGCTTTCCAGATAGTCTTATTTAAATATATTGTAGACTCGTCCATCCAATCAAGTAGGATCTACTGCAACAGCAAACATAAAAACGGGTTGACAAAGAAAAAACAGATTCCCTGCTTTTTTACCTTGACCAACCACCACACAACCATTTGAATCCTATTGCTTCCCCCACCTCCACATTGATCTTCTTGGTGAGTACAACTTACAACACATAAGCTCTTCAGCGAAATGCATAGTTAATAAATTTTCCACTTACTTTCATCATCTTCATTTTTCTTTGGATACTATTCATAATCCTATATATATATATATATATATATATATATATATATATATATATATATATATATCATAATTAATTCATTGAGTCTAGAAGAATCCTCAACAGAATGAAGAAGGCACTGGACAGCCATTTCGACCTATATTTGGGACTCATCAGCAACGTGCATCCACAACTAAGAATTAAACTCGGGCTGTTATGATATGACGCAAGCATCATACCGATTTATATATATATAATTTTTATTATAAGAGATTATAATAAAAACATGTTGAAATTGCTACACAAAAGCTTTCATGTTTTAATACTATGATTGTACTTCTTCAGGTGATGGTAAGTAACTGGTGATAAAATGAATTTTAAGGAAATTTAAAAACAAAGTGTTATCTCTTTTCAAAAAGTTAAAGTGGGGACTGGAACATATGGTCTGAATTAAAAATAAACTTGTGTGTATGTCATGATTAACCAATTAAATGTCAGATCTACGTTAAATAGAAAAGTAAGCTCAGAGAGTAGAGGTGGGTGAGTTATATTTTCTGCAATCGTCAATGATGGCCTATGTTCAGTTTTATCATTACATGAAAATATATCAGAAATACACACATATATATATATATATATATATATATATATATATATATATATATTAAGATATCTTTATGTTTATACATTCTTTTTATAGATACATAAACATAAAAATGTCTTAAAATAATTGTCAGACTTTGTCCATTTCATTATATATATATATATATGAATACAAAGATAAGGTGAAAAATTATTCTTAGCTGACTCCTTTTGTTCTCTGAGGGACTTTATCAAGGCAAAAGTAAGGATTTTTATTTTGTTGCACATGTTTATATACAAGAGCAAGAATGTGATTGGCTTATTCTTTATTGGTTCATTTCTTTTCTATATAAACACATACAACAAATAAATGCTTACTTTAGCCTTGATAAAGTCCCTCAGAGGACAAAAAACAACAGCTAGGTATAATTTTTATTCTTGTCTTATTATTTAATTTGTTCCTTTACAAATATACTCTATCTAAAAACTATATATATATATATATATATATATATATTATCATTATAATCATTATTATTATTATTATTCTGTTACGGTTTCACTTTAGGATAATTTGATTTTTAATTCTTTAAAACATAAAATTCAGTTCATTTCAATAATTTTCAGACAAAAATAAACTGCCTTTTACCCAAATTTTAATGAAAATTGGTTTGTTTTTAAATAGCCCACAGTGGTAGATGCACACACACATATACATGCAAAGGCATGCACATACTCATAGTCACAAAAGACACACATGATAGTGTTGTGAATTTAACAAGATAGCTTTATTACAGAAATACACTAAGATTTAGTAAAGTATATACAATCCATATACTAATTATACTAAAACATAATAATAGAAAACATCACTTATAGAAGCAGAGGGTAAATTCCAATTCTTTGGATTGACAAACCATGGAGAGAAGATGAAACAAAAGAGACTTGCTTCAGGTCAAGATAACATTCTTTGAATTAAACTAGGTCAGCTGGTTAACTGACATTTTTATCCAATGAGCCATGGCCCTTAAGTTAGTAGTAACAGAGTCTGTATATTACAAAATGAACTGATTAATAATACAAAGGTGCTAATGATATTGCTGCAGTTATAGTAGTTGTTCTAAACAGTTCAACCAAAGTCTTTATTATAAATACTTTGCTTTAAAAAAAAAAAAAAAAAAAAAAACATACACATACACAACTGGATCCCTCCCTGAGAGCAGGTTATACAGATTTTGATGCCAGACCCCCAATTTAGCAACAACTGAAGAAATATAATTTTGAATTTTTGCTGGCATGTAAACAAGACTGCTTTCTGAAGTTTGTGTGAGATTTATTTTTCTTATTACTAAGATAGAAAATGCCAATGATGGAACAGGTGAGCAACAAGGAAGTGTTCAGGAAAATGGAAATAAAAAGGTTTAGAATCAGAGAAAGAGAGTTGGGATGCATAATGAGGAAAGAGAGCCTAGTGAATTTAACACTCACAAGATATAATGAAGGTATGAGAAGCAGGGTGAAACAGTGAGTAACCAGCTTAAGGAATTTGTGTGGACGGATTGCAATAGCAGGACAAAAAGGGATGGTAAAAAGTTAAAAATTACTTTGAACAACAAAAGACAGGAAGGTGTCAGAAGTCACTATCAGTCATGTCTCAAAAGGACTTAGCAAATAAAAAAGAAGAATCAGCAACTGATTATCTTCCACATCTGAGCTTATGACCATATCACGTTGAAACATTGGTTCCCATACAACCACTGAAGTTAAGCAAAATCAAGCCTGGCCAGTATCTTAATAGATGACAGCTTGAGAATATTAGGTGCTGTAAGCTTGGATGTGTGGGTTACTAGATAAGGTTGTTGAACAGACATAGGAGGAAAGCAGAAATGAGTGCAGATTATGAGGTTATGTAGAATAGGTAATGATTAACTCCAGACTTGAAGTTTGCAGTGTTCTGGGAAGCATCCTCTCAGGAGCCTGTTCTATAAAGTAGCGGCTGTTGGGAAGAAGCTGTCCAAATGGAACTTCCTGTTTACTAATGGAATACAGAAGGAATGAGTATGATTCACCTCCATGTATATAGCGTGGCAGATCTTAGCCATAAAGGTCTAAACTGGTGGTAGAACTAGGGAGTTTAGCTCATCAGATCATTTTCCATAGAAATTTCATCTGTGGGTGAGTGGTTGTAAAATAGAAAATAACTCATCACCCACAAGGCCATACAAATGCTTTTGAACTCTGTCAAGGCTGGAAAGAGAGCATTGTTCAGCTCCAGCAAATATATCTGGCAGAAATATTTCATTTTTGGTCTGATCTGATTCTTGCAAAGATAGCTCATCAAAGGTGGTGTCAGGTACTGTCTGGATCTGTATAAGGAGCCAAACTAGTTTTCAAGTGTCTACCAATGAATTGTATGTATGAGTTCCATTTGAGGTCTAGGGTGAAGTTCAGTCCCAAAAAATGCTCAAAGCAAGGAACCTCATTGTTGCAACAAGAACATGCCAAAATACAAGATGATTCCAAACAAAAATAAAATTTCAAAAATTACTGAATTATTGAATCAACTGAATTATTTTTCAATTATTATTAAGAGAAATGTTTGTAAGATGGGGATTTGGTTAGTTATTATTATTCCTACTGAGTGAAAAAGCAACATACCAACAAAGTGACACTGGGGTACAAATATACAAAGCCCAATATATACAGTAGTGAATACTGGACAATTTCCTCATAGACAAAAAGAAGACTGGAGTCAACAGAAATTGGGTTCTACAGAAGGATACTGAGAGCATGTTAGCAACAAAGAAGTCTTAAGGAAAATGGAAACAAAAAAAAATACATAATTGGAATCAGAAAGAGATAGTTTAAATTTCTGAGACATACTGAGAAAGGAGGGCTTGGAAATTTTGACACTCGCTACACATATTGAAGGCAAGAGAGAAACATCAAATAAGGATAGATAAACAGGGGCCGGTAGAGATAGTTAAGGGGATAAATGATACAAAGCTATGGAGAGCCATGTTCATCCACATCCTGAAGGGACATAGCAATAAAAGAGATGTTGAGTAAAGAAATATTGATATAATAAATGCAAATGTCACTGTGCCACATTTTTTCAATTAAAGGGACACAACTCTAACTTTCAGTAGCTTATATTCTTCTTCTGTATAATAAATGCGAATGTCAGTGTGTCACTGTGTCACACTTTTTCAACTTCACTCTGCAAGGCCGTAGCCCAACATATCATACCATTTTGGAATCAGGCCAACTCTGTGAGAGAATTAAAAACATTCTGGGTCAGATCCAGAGCTGCAGTCCTAAAAGTTTGGATTCCCCAGTTTCATTACTGCGATTTTTTTACATGATTTTTTTGCAACAGATTTTTTTGTACGATAACAATTTCTATAACTTGGAAATAAATTTGGGAATATTCAAAATTAATTGTGAAATCCAGCAAAAGTCACCCATGAAATAAAAATAATTGTTTGTATGGAAAGTAAGGCCCTACGTACACCAACTTGTCTTTAAATTAAATGGCGACAGAAGAATTATTGCGAAACTTTTAAAGGTAAGATTAAATATTAATGCAATACTTTGCAGTGATCAATTTTGTGTTCTTCTGTAGTTTACTTTTGCCTATCACATCTTCTTCCTACCTACTGAGATGAAAGCTCAATGAAGAGCCCTCCACAGGAGCTAGCTTAAATGTTACCTAATAGAACAGATATTAAGCTAGTTAATAATAAAAGAAATTTTGATTTTTGAAGCAAGCACCCAGCATACCAGGCCTGTATCTACCATTGTCATTAACTGTTGTCTTTATAATGCAATTATTTTATTTGTTTGTGATTTAACAGTGGCACCTAATGTTCTCAAATTCCTTACTCAAAAGTATCGGGTTGCAAATGGTAGTTACTGTAGCTACCTAACAATATGAAAAACATGAATATGGAAATTATTATTCTGTATCTAAATTAAAACCCAGTTCCCGTACAATCACCAAAGTTAAGCAACGTCAAGCCTGGTCAGTACCTAGATGGGTGACTGCTTGGAAATACCAGATGCTGTAAACTTAGATGTGAGGGTGATGTAATGGATAATGGCTCAGAATTGTAAATCAGAAAACCTAGTTTCAATTCCCAGTGGTTTTGTTATATTCACTTACGTGCAAATATCCTTGGGAAAGGTATGGGCACACTTCTTCTCACCCCCCCACCCCAGCTATGGGATTATTACTAAGGCTTGTATCACAAAAACAGTTATTATCTCCAAAAAAATAAAATTGCATACAAAATTAGATTTTGTCATTAAATAACCCATGGGGTTTCTTATATTCACTTATGTGCAAATACCTTTGAGAAATGTATGAATCCATGTTTTCGCTCCCCTGTAACAGCATCTAGTCAATCTCTATCTATAAAAGGCAGGATGTGTGTGTGTATGTGTGTAACGAATGCACGGCCGCAATTTTCGACGGATTTGCACCAAAATTTACATGCACATGCTCCAAGTTAGCGGAAAGGCCAAGACTGACTTTGCATTTCCCAACTCCCATCGATAGTGGAAATAATTAATTTTTTCATGCTTCTACGGCAGTTTTCATGTAGTTTGCAGCCATTTTCTACTGGCCAGAGTGAGAGCCGATAGCTGGCTGCCACGAATAGGCAGGAAGATTCTATTGGCCAGTGTGAGAGCCAACAGCTGACTGACACGAATGTTAACTAGCATGCTAGCATGCAAAAAAATCGATAGCTGCATTCGTCACAAGTGGGAAAAATTTTAATCTGCATGGCACTTTACTCCAATTGGCTCATTTGCTTGCTTAAACTCAACGTTGATTCTGATTCCGCAGAACTGGGTTGGGTGTGAAAAAGTATTTGTTGTTAACATTCTTTTTTCATTCGGTTTTTCCAGTTACGAGTCCTTTTTTAAAGCTGATCGTTTTGTGTTCATTTTGTTTAGTTCTTTTTTCATAACATTTAATGTTTAGTATAGAGCTTAGAAAAAATTTGCAGTGTGAGATAGGCAAGAAGTAAGGCATGTAGCAACATCAGCACGGCAAAGGGCACTCCTTTAAAGGCAAAGAAGGGCAAAAATATTTTCAAGTAATAGCGATTGCTGTATAAGTCATACAATTTTTGAATCAAGCTCGGGTAATGCCGGGCAATGCTGCTAGTTAAATATATATGTAAATACATTAAGAAGTGAAGTGACCAAGCAGTATGTGGTCTGGAAAATGAAATTGAATTTCAAAAGTTTCTAATGGTTCAATACATATTTTCCAATGAGGCTGCCTGGAGGATCCTTAACTTTTCAATTCTTGACCAAAATCCTTCAGTTCAGCATTTATTGGTACACTTGGAAAATGAACAAAGAATTTACTTCACAGAAGAAATGCAAGAGAACTAGCTGAAATTCCTAAGAACACAACACTAATGCCATTTTTAGAACTGTATCAAAATGGTGGTTTTGCAAAAACAATCCTGTACCCTGAAGTTTACAAATACTACACCTAAAAGCCTGGAAAATTTCAGAGGTGAACCTCATCCAACTGAACCTGGAATCAAAATGGGAGATGTACTTGGAAGAGTATATACAGTCCAACCAAGAAATCCTGAATGCTTCTTTCTCAGACTGTTGCTTCATCCCATAAGAGGCGCAACATCATTTCAAGACTTGAGAACAATTGATGGAGTTGTCAAAGAGACTTACAGATAAGCATATATCAAGCTTGGCCTTACAGGCAATCAACATTGGGATATGACTCTGAAGGAAGCAGTTGCAACAAATTCTCCAAAAGAAGTCAGAAATCGGTTTTCAGTAACAATTGCCACCTGAAAAACTTTCCAGCCCAGTTACTTTTTGGGAAAAATATCAGGAATCTCTCAATGAGAATATTTTTCATCAAATGAGACTTGCTCATCCAGTATTGGAATTGAATCCTCAGATTGCAAATTTAGCTCTCTGTAAAACTGAAGACAGTCCTTGATGACATCAGCAACAACAATAGAGGAGGTTTCCTTCTTGGATGCACCTAGAGGTATTGGTAAAACCTTTGTAACTAATCTTCTTTTATCTGCAGTGAGACTCAAAAGAAAAGTAACTCTAGCAGTAGCATCATTTGGGATTGCTGCTACTCTCTTGTCAGGAGGGGGTACAGCACACAGCACCTTCTATAATTATAATATTTTGCTTTACTGTTTGTATCAAGCACTATGTTTTTTAAAGTAAAAATAATTGCTAAGAACACCAGATTATAAACCTTACTGTTCTTTCTTATCATTGTAATATATATATATATATATTTTTCCACATCATAAATAAGACAAAAATTGACATTGAAAAATATACACACACAAATGTGTGTATATATATATATATATATATATGGGTAAATTGTTTGAAAAAGTGAAAAAGTTTACATGAGACATTTTGTCCTTCAAGACTTCATCAGACTAAATCTAAATGTTAGTGAGACTACACATGTGCACGACAGAGGCATACTGGGAATTTCAGAATTTTGTTTTATCTAGCTGAATTAATTTAGAGTCTTTTTCTTTTTCTTTCGAACACTTCGTCACTCTTGTAAGTAGGTATTCCACACTGTGATTTTAGAATATCTGCCCGGAAATGGAGAAATGTTGTAAAAGCCAGGGCACAAATATATACACATATATATATGCAAGTATATATACTTACATAGATGCACTCACCCACACACATATATACACATTAAAATTTTTTGACCATCTGCCAAGAAAGGTCTCTACATACTGCACCAAATTTGCTCAATGGGAAGGATAATTCTCAAGGCATATATATATATATATATATATATATATATATAGGCAATTGCTGCATTTATTATTTATGGTGACATACACTGCATGAGAAAATATAAATCAATATTAATATCATTGCATCCCAATATCAAAATGTATAAGAAAAATGACTGGCCTGTGTCAAGGTTGATAATGGTTGTAATAGCTATTTGCAATTGAATTCGATAAATCAAAATGCAGAAATTCTAACATGGCATTTTGATTTATTAGATTCAATTAAAAAAACAAAAAACGTTTCGACAATATCAGCTATTAAAACACTTTTGATTTTCTTTCCTTCACTGTAATTATTTTTTTATCTTCTCCCGTGAAGATGACTCATGCATGTCGAAGGCTTGGACACAGCCTTGATTTTGAATATTTTTTGCATCTGCAACAAATTTTGCAAAAGGCGATTCGCATTTTAGAAAAGAAAATGGATAAATTCAATCAACATAGAAGGTCTAGCTTTTTTAATATACGAGGTCTGCCTGAAAAGTAATGGGACTGGTGTTACAAATATCTTTTCCAGCCTTCTCTGCCATGCTTCTATGCACTGATGGAAGGATTCATCTTGGATGTCCATCCAATCTGTTCTTACAGCCCTTTTGATGGCCTCCACGCCTTCAAAAGAGGCCCCCTTGATGATTCCCTTGAGCTTGGGGAAAAGAAAAAAGTCAAATGGAGCTAGATAAGGTGAACATGAGGTTGTTCAAATATGCCAATATTCTTCTCAGCCAGGAACAGCCAGATACTCAGGGCATTGTAAGCAGATGCATTGTAGTGAAGCAGCCATGATTCAACTCTTCTCGTGCACTGGCTGAAGCAAATGCCACAGGATCTCTTTGCAAACTTGCTGATTTATTGTCTGTTATTGTCTGTGGCAAGAAATCACTGTGGACAATGCCTCTCACATCGAAGAACATAATCAGCCCTGTTACTTTTCAGACAAACCTTGTATATATTTATTTCTTTTGACTCTTTTCTTGCAATTCTCGACTGTGCAACTTTCTTCCAGCTTCCTGCTTTCATGCCAACTACGATCTTCAAAAGTTTAAATATAACATCAATTTCCATCTTCTCTATTTTTGAATCCTGTTCTTTTATTGTCCTTTCTCCTCACTAGCACTTTCTCATTTTCTTTCACTCTTAGTAATAGTTCATATGAACGTGGTTAGTAGGAGAAAGAAGAACAACAAATTAGTAACAGCTGTCAACATTCCAAATTTTCACCCCTTTTTACCCTTATGCTTCCCCTGAAATTGTTTTTATGTTTTGGGAAACCCCTGCATAAAAAATATTATATACCATTGTTAATATCAATCTCTTTATTTTCCAACAATATTCCATACATCTATGGTATAATTACAAATATAAAATTAAACAAAAATTACTAAAAGTTGTATTAGCCACTATTTCTTGTCGAACCCCTAGTGACCTCTTGCAGAAGCCTAGAGTTCCAGGGAACACCGATTGAGAAACACTGGTCCAAATACACTAACCTGCTTCAGTTGCAAGTATATTATTTCTTCTCGCTATAAACATTATATTTAGTTAGTATACATGTTTGAGTAGACATTCCTGTTTTTTGGGGGTTTTTTTAACAGTGAAATTAAGATCTACCAGTCTAGATATCAAAAGTATTTCTAAAAAAAATGCAGCTTTTGACAAAAATCAAACTTTTATTCCTTTTTAACCTGGATAGTCACTTTCATACCAGATATGCTTTACTACTTAGCTATAAGAAGTCACAGCAATTAAGTACAGCATAATTATTCTATTTAAGAATTAAAATATCCATCAAGTGGTTAAACATTACTTTAACTTTTGGGTAGAAAAATAAATTTACCAGATATAGACATCAAATGGTCCCAAAGAGAGGTGTGTACATTTTAAATGGGGTAATTGAGTTTTACTTTGCTGTAATAGGTTCTCATAGTTAAGTAGTAAATCATACTTGGCTTGAAGATTGCTTCTCTGGTTAAAGGGAATACAAGTTCAATTCCCTTTGAGTGACATATTTTCGTTGATAAGACTTTTGATTTCTATGCGTGTAGATGTTAATTTCACTGTTTAAAAATCAGAAATACATACTCAAGCAAATCTACCCACTAAATGTTTATAGTAACAAAAACTAATGTTGAATTTTAAAATTTATATTAATTACTTAAAAGATATATTTGTATTAAAAGAATAAACGTCTTTTATGTGTTGTGTCCCTTCAGGAAGCTCCACAACTTCCTGTCCTT